CTGGTTAATGCAGGACATGGGGGGAGGGGGAGGGGGAGAAGGATGGGGCAGCAGTCTGCCGGTCAAGCGGGCCGCACAGACCCCGCAGGGCTTCAGCATACGGCCGGTACCTCCGCCCTGCTAGAAATCCGGGGTTTCTGTCCATTCTCTCCATACTTGTCTATCACCCAGCCACCACCCCACCCCTATTCATTTATACTCCCTCTCCTGCCCCACCCCGCATGCCCGATACATCCATCCACACCCCCAGGCTGAGCCCTCCTCACCACGGTGCTCCCGCAGCCGCTCCAGGCGTTGGACTCCTCCGCGGCTCCCACAGTCCCCGCACAGACTGGAGGAGCGGGGCGGGGAGTGGAGCTACGACAGCCCTGCGCAGCCGCCCCCTTCACGCATGGGCGTGGCGTGGCTCAGACCCAGCCCCTGCACTTGACGTCCTACACTTGACTAGCCTGTGTCACCCACCAAGGACTGTCTCGCAGGGGGCCTTTTGTTTGTTTTTATTGATTTCAGGGAGAGATAGAAACATCAATGATGAGAATCATTGACCGCTGCCTCCTGCATGCCCCCTACTGGGGATCAAGCCTGCACCTTGGCCTTGTGCCCTGACCAGGAATACAACAGCGACCTCCTGGTTCATGGATGGACACTCAGCCACTGCGCCACACGGGCTGGGCATGTCTGGCAGTTTTTGATGTCCTAGGCTTTTAGTGCAAAGGGGTCCAGAAGTCAAGACTGGCAGTCCTGGGTTCCATGGAACGACCCCACCCACCCTGCCCATTCTGGCCAGAGCTGCACCCCTGGCTGGTACAAGAGCAGAACCACAAGGTTACAGTGCAGCACGTCCTGGAATAATATAATTTTATTCACCCTCTTTTCTTTATAGGGTTAAGAAAAGAAAATCGATTCCAGGCAGGTCCACGGTGTGGAGCTTGCATGTTCTTCCCTTTGGATTTTCTTCTGGACTCCGGTTTCCTCCCACAACCCACATATGCAGGTGAAGTGAATTGGTGTGTCTAAATTACCTGAGTGGTTGTGGGTATGAGTGGGCTTGGAATAGAAGGGCCTCCTGTCCAGGGTTGGCTCCCACTTTGAGCTGCCCAGATAAGCTCCCTATTCTCTAGGTAAGAGCTCCCACAACCCTTAACTAGAAAGGTTGGAAAATAACCTTACCTGCTTTTAGTCATTCCTTAAATGTGTATATAGCTCACATTTATTTCAATGTTTAATATCAGAAGAGTTTGATGGTTTGTTTTAATATATTTTCTTGATTTTATTTTTAAATATGTCTATTGACTTCAGAGAGAGAGAGGGAAAGAGATAGAAACATAAATGATGAGAGAGTCATTGATCAGCTGCCTCCTGCATGTCCCCCACCAGGGGTCGAGCCCGCAACCCAGACATGGGCCCTGAGCTGGAATCAAACCACCATCTCCTAGATCATAGGTCAGTGCTCAACCTCTGAGCGCGCCAGCCAGGAAATGTTTTAAATTCTTTTTTTTTTTTTAGAGAAGGAGTTAGAGAAACATCAGTGTGACAGAGATACATCAATTGGCTGTCTCCCATACACACCCCGACTAGGCATCAGACCCACAACCTTGGTATGTGCCCTGACTGGGAATCAAACCGATGACCTCCCAGTGCACAGGATGACCCTCCACCCAACCAAGCCACACTGACCAGGGCTGGTGATGTTTTTGTGACTAGAAATATGCCATAGGAACGTAACTCGTCTATATCAATTAGCTTATGGCAAAATTTTGTCACAGTATCCAAGAACCTATGAACATTAAATGAGGATTTACTGTAATTTATTGAGAGCCTCCCCTCCCCACCCTGGCAGTCTCTAGGTCACTTTTTCCGCTTGTAGATCTTGTGTGCTAGCCTCAGGAAGATGGCTGGGGGCAGGGGCGAAGAGTACCGCTCGATGAGATCCAGAAGGTGTCTGTAACTCTCTTCCTCATACTGCAGGAACACAGCCTGCAGATTCAGCTCCTCGTACAGTGCCTTCACCCGGGCCACCTTCTCAGCGTCTTTCTGCCCATAATTCTCCTAGAAGGGGTTGAGGACAGGAAAATAGGTTTCCTTTCCTCTAGTGCTCCCAGGTCCTCTCCACAGTCCTCATCCATATATTCCAGAACATCTCCAATGCCATTCACTTGATTCCTGTCTCCAATTTCAAATGTCTCTGAGTGTATAAGATTGTCTAAGATGTTAAGCTTTCCCTTTCCCATTCCAAATGTTCAGATATTGGCTCAGCCCTCAGCTTCCTCTACCACAGGGTTTCTCAGCTTTGGCACTGTTGAAATTTGGCGCCAGATAATTCTTTGTTGTGGGAAACTGTTGTGTGCATTGTAACATGTATGGAAGCATTCCTGGCCTCTACCCACTAGATACCTTAGCACATCTACACATACCAAGTTATGACAACAAAAATTGTCTGCTGCTGTTGCCATGTCTCCTGGGGTACAAAACTGCCCCACTTGAAAACCACTGCTCTATGCCCTTTCTTATCAGCTCAGGGATCTACAACCCTCTCTTGGGCACCTGCAGGATCTGGCGCTGTTCCGGAGAGGCCCGTTGCAGACACTGAACTACCAGCCAGCTGCATTTGTTGTCCTGGATGTCAGTGCCAATCTTGCCTGTCACACTGGGGTCCCCAAAGAGGTCAAGGTAATCATCCTGGGCAGGGAAGCAGAAAAGGAAAAATGAAGAGGCTCCAAGACAGGGAAGGAGGAAAGTTGGAGCCTGTTCTCTGCCAGTGCCTCAGGCTTCCTACCTGAATCTGAAAGAGCTCTCCTATCTCCAGCAGGATCTTCTTGGCATTGGTGTGTTCCTTCTCCCCATCAATGCCCGCCTACAGTGAGAACGGGATTAATAAGCCAGACACCAGAGGTGCCTTTCCTGGCTGCTTCTTCCCATAGGGTCTTGCCAAACTTTAGTCCCAAAATCTCTGCTCTCCTTTCAGACATCCCTGGATTCCCTGATCTAGGAAGTCCTGACTGGTGGTCCAACCTCTATCCCATTTAATTTTAGCTAGGCCTTCCTGCAGGCAGAGATTAATCCATTCTGGAGGCCCTCAGACTCTTATTTCACAAGGATCCATGGGTCACTGATGCTTCTTCCTAATCAATTTGCCATTTCCAGCTTCTTTCAGGATGAAAAGGAAACCTGGAGAGGCAAGGTCAGAGTAGGTAGGCATCAATCCCACTCACTGCCTGTAACTCCAGTCTTCTCAGCCTGATCATCTCCTCCCCATTCCTATCCATACTCAGATGGAAGATTTCTTGTTCCTCTATGATGTGGACCAACCACTTTCATATCACTTGCCTCACTTAATTTCTACAACAATCCTGTGAGGTGGGGATTTTATCCTCATGTTACAACTGACGAAATAGAGTCAGAGAGAATACATAACTTGCTCACGGTCACACAGCCATTAAGTGGGGGTACCAGATTGTCCAAAAGCCAACGTTAGTGGGCAGCAGAGGTGTGGGTAGGCTCACTCACCATATACATGGCAGCAGCTACGGGAAGGTAGAAGGAGTAGAAAGCTGTCTTATATTTGACAATAGATTTGTACCTAAGTAGGAGGAGAAGATAAATTCCTCAAAAAGGCAGTGCCCACCTGAAGCCCTCCCTCACTGTCCAGATATGGTTCCCACTGTCCCTCACCTCTTTTCAGTGAATCTGCCAAGATCTACGTTGCCCTGCGGGCCTGTGATGAGGTCCAAGGTCTGTCCAATCTCAGTCTGATAGGAAATCTAAGGTGGAAGATGGCCCATTAGCTGGGCTTTCTCCAGGACTGGGGAACCCTGAAATCCTGGGCCCCATATCCCATACCAGTTAACAACTGGGTAGAGTCAAAAAGGCAGCAAGAGGGAGAGAGGCACCAAAACTCAAGGCCCATACACACACACACACAGTCCTTTATCACTCCTTCCAATCACACAGGGACAGAGAACCCTCCTTGCCATTATTACTACCCTTCCCAACTCCCTCGCTTTATTCCTCTTTCACTAAAACCTAGGTATTTCCTAGGCCGTGAAACCAGCTAGATGAGAATGTCCTGGAGAGGCCAAGGCTACTGCGGGCAGCCTCTGGGCATTGAGTCCCGGTCTGCCGCACACCTGCAGGAAGAGTTCCATCAGGTTCAGGTAATAAGGCTGCTCCCGGCAGTAGAGCTTCAGCAGTCGGAAGATACATGCTTCTAGAAGGAGAACATCATTGACCGCATTCAAACCTACGCCTGGCTGTCAGGGGAACAGAGAAAAACAAGCAATCAGTCTCTGGCCTAGACTCATACCAAGAACCTGTCACTCCGAACACCTCAAAAGGCTCTACAGAACCACCTCCCTCTGTCCTGTTTCCATGCCCACTTACCTTCTTATACCAGCAGATCTGTCCCCGTCGGGTGAGGGATGAATCCATAATGTCGTCTGCCACCAGAAAGAAAGCTTGGAGCTAGGAAGAGATGGAAGAGTGGAATAAGACCCCCAGGGCTCCTTATTACTGTCCCTTCCACCAGCAACAGAGCTGCTTTTTTGAGAATCACTATGAGCTGAGAAGGCTGGGGTAGGGAGGCTAAGAGCTTGTTCTGTGCTGTGGAACTCTGGCAAGTTATATNGAAGGCTGGGGTAGGGAGGCTAAGAGCTTGTTCTGTGCTGTGGACTTCTTCGGCTCAGGCTTTATTTGTTCATTTGAATTCTCACCAGAGGATATTTTTTTATTGATTTTAGAGAGAGGGGAAAGGGAAGAGGAAGAGAGAGACAGAGAGGAAGAGAGAGAAGCAGTGATGTGAGAGAAACATTGAAAGGCTGCCTCCCATATGCACCCTGACCAAGGTTCGAACCCGCAACCTAAGTATGTGCCCTGACCAGGAGTTGAACCCACTGCCTTTTGGTTTATAGGACAATGCTCCAACCCAGTGAGCCACACCGGCAAGGGCAAAACACCCTTGTTTTCAGAGTAAGAGACTGCAACAGATGCCTGACATCTCCAAATAAGCAACCCTAGACAATCCCTGCTATCAGGGAGATGATGAAACACATTCCAGTGATCAAGAACAAAGCTCCACCTCAGAAAGCTCAGTTGGGGGTGCAGGTATAATCGGACAGAACTGAAGTCTGACTCCTGGTAACTTGCACCCACAGATCTTAAACATCTTTAAACATTCTTAAATATCAGCAAAGAGCTAACTCTTCTCAGTGCCAGCCTACTTGAAGGAACCTAAATGTGGTTTTCCCACTAGACTGTGAACTCCTTGGAGGCAGGGATGATGTTTGCCCTCTTGGCATTCCCAGAACCTAGCACAGCACTAGACCCAGAGTGGGTGTCTCATAAATGCTTATCTAAGCATGAAACACCATAATGTTCCCCATGGTACTTCTTGCCATCAGGTAACACATTCTGGTTCCTTAAAACGGCTTTCCAAGGCAGAGTTTTTAAATCTTCACCTCCTACTGATCTGTATGTGTGCTTTAGTGGGTCAGCATTGCTCAGAGGAAGCAACCAACACTGCTCACCGGCTTAGGTGTAGACAGTACAAAACTGGCCATGACAGTCACTGCTCTTGTTCTGGGCCAAGTCCTTGGGGAAGAAGGCATTCATCTGCACCTTAACCTCTGACCTCATCTAGAGGTGGGTCTGGGCTTTCCCCATTGGAGGCACATATTTTATTTACATCATGTTTATTTGGAGTGGCATGGTTCCCCTGAAGCCACCAGTCTACTGCCTCTTCCAAGAGTGATTGCAAGGGCCACCTGGTTTCAACCAGTACCACTCAACCAGGATTGTCTCCAAAGGATTTTTACACTGTGGCCTCCCTCAATCGTTTCTGCCCCTCAGCAATGATTCTGACCCAACTGCGCTTTGTATTTAAATTTTTTTAACTGATTTCAGAGGGAGGAAGGGAAAGGGAGAGAGAGATAGAAACATCAATGATAAGAGAGTCATTGATGCACTGCCTCCTGCATGGCCCCTACTGGGCATCGAGGCCACAACCCACGTATGTGCCTTGACCAGGAATTGAACCACAACCCCTTGGATCACAGGTGGATGCTCAACCCCTGAGCCATGCCAGTTGGGCATGCACTTTCTGTTTATTAGAGGGAAACTTTAAAAAATACCAGTGCCAGCCCTGGCCGCTGTGACTCAATAGTTGGAACATTGTCCCATGTTCCACAGGGTCTCGGGCCTGATTTCCAGCCAAGGGCACGTACCTGGGTTGCAGATTTGATCCCTGGCCCCTGTCAGGGTGAGTGCAGGAGGCAACCAATTGATGGATCTCTCTCACATCAATGTGTTTCTCTCACTCCTTCTCTCTCTTCCACTCGCTCTAAAAATCAATGGAAAAAATATCCTAGGGTGAGGATTAACAACAACAAAAAATACCAGTGCTACCCCTAGCCGGTGTGGCTCAGTTGGTGGCACATTATCCTATGCACCCAAAGGCTGCCAGTTGGATTCCCATTCAGGGCACATGCCTGGGTAGGGTTGCAGGCTCAAACCCCAGCAGGAGGCAGCAGACTGATGTTTCTCTTTCATCAAAGTTTCTCTTTCATCCACGTTTCTCTCTCCCTCTCCCTCTCCCTCTCTCTAAAATCAATGAAAACATTCTTTTTAAAAGGTCAATGATAATGGAGAGACTATTCTAGATTAAAGATTGAAGAAAAACTACCAAATACAATGAATCTTGACTAGATCCTGGATGTTAAAAAAACTTAAAATATACATTTTAGGGAGCATTAGGAATATTTCAATATGTACTATACATTAGATATATAATATATAATATTATAGTATAGTAATATTAGCAGTGTTAAATATCTTGGATGTTGCTATGATCTGGGTGTATCTCCCAAAATTTATATGTTGAAATCCTAACCCTCGAAGATGATGGTACTAGCAGGTGGGACCTCTGGGAGGTGATTAGGTCTTGAGAATGGTGCCCTCATGAATGGGACTAGTACCCTTATAAAAGAGACCCCCCAGAGTCCCTAGCCACATCCACCATGAGAATATGGCAAAGAGGTGCCATCCATGAACCAAGAAGCAGGCCCTCCCTCACGATGCTGGTGCCTGGATCTTGGGCTTCCCAGCCTCCAGAACTACGAGAAATACATTTCTGTTATTTATAAACTACCCAATCTCTGGTATTGTTGTAGCAGCCCAAACAAAGACATATGTGATAATGGTATTGTAATTATATAGGCAAATGTCCTTGTTTTTAGACAGTAAATGCTGAAATAGAAAAATAAGAGATTGACGGAGATGAGGTAGAAATAGAAAGATAGAAGCAGAAATTATAACTAAAATCATCCAAGTAAAAATAATGGTGCACAGCTCAAATGGCTTCTTAGAGAAGTGACAGCATTTCAATAAGAACTGATTCCACAGGTGAGCTGCTGGGCCTCAAGTTCTCACCTCCCATGGCCAACAGCTCAGCTACTCTTCTTTGCCCTGGTCCTCCTGCCCTTCCTTCCTACCTTCCTTGCCTGTTGCCTCCAAGTTTATGGGCTCCTCAGCCCCTCCTGATCCCTACAGCAATACCTCTGTCACCCAGGGCCCTGTCCTTCAATACTGCCATTGTCCCTTTACCTCCTTGAAGGCAAATCCCCATTCTCTGGCCCTGTCTTCCGAGCCCCAGTCTAGAATTTCAACACCCACAGGACAGACAGCTCTACCTGCTCAGCCAGTACCAAGATTTCAGAGTGGCTGACTCTGAACTTATCACCACTCCTCCCAAGCCAGGTGCTCCCTTCCTCAGGCCAGGAGCCTCAGCATAATCGCTTATCTACCAAGTCCTTAGCATCTTCCCGTCTGGTCTCACTGCACCCCACCCAGCATCCAGTCCTCCTGTCACTGTTTAGGCCAGGCCTGCAAACCATACACCTTCAAGGGCCAAGTGAGCTGGGCATAAGAGACAAGGAAACATGAGAAGTGCAGCAAAGCAGAGAGAGACAGACCCACAAAAGAGAGCCAATGCTCCGTCTTGGGGAAGTGACCTCAGTTCAACTTTGGCCAATTGTTGCAATAGGGAATCTTGACCCAGATCTAGCAATTTTCCAAGTGACACTAGAAATTTGGGTTTTTATGTGCAACCTCTTCTTTGTTAAATTTAGGAGACTTAATTTTAAAATATTTTCAAAAAACTATCAGTGGGGTGCCACTTTTCAATCTCTGCTTTAGAATAATCTTCCGGAAGAACTATGTCACTACTCAGAGTTGACACCTCTATGCCCAGTTCCAAGGGCATAGGTAATCTACCTGGCCCACAGGTAGCCTACAGGTGAAATGCGTACCTACTGTCTGGCCAGTCATGGCTCAACAGTTGAGCATCAACCTAGGATCCAGGAGATCGCAGTCTGATTCCTGGTAAGGGCACATGCCCGAGTTGCAGGCTCGATCCCCAGTCAGGGGATGTGCAGGAGGCAGCGAATCAATGACTCTCATCATTGATGTTTCTAACTCTCTCTCCCTCTCCCTTCCTCTCTCTGAAATCAATAAAGATATATTTGAGAGGGGGAAAAAAAAACGTACCTACTGGCAAAAGAGGTTCCCCACATTTGTTAACCCATGGAGTAATTCACTGTCTAAATTTGGCTGTGGCACACTAGAGGCACAGAAAAACAAATAACCAAGAAACGAGTTGCAAGCCCATCTCTCCCCTTCCCACCCAAGGCACCCCCCACATTCTAGTGAACCTCTTCTCCTGCCCTTCTCACCAGTTCCACACACCAGCCCACAATCATGGCCCGCTGGAGACTCTCAGCATCCTGCTTCGCTGGTTCCACCAGATCCTGGAATGTTGTCAGCACCGTCATACCCCGTTGGTGCTTCCCTCCAATGACATTGTACTCCAGGACCTGGGAGGGCAAAGCCAGAGGGACAAGGTATCAGGATCCACAGATCAGCTACTCTGAGATTTCTTGTTGCCCTCTCCTATTTCCATCCACAATCTAACTTTAAAATCCTCCTTAACCCTGACTCCTCCTCCTCCAGGGAGCCTCTGGAATTGCTACTCTCTTGGTCATTTCCCCTAAGTCCTGGAACACAGAAGAGTTCCCCAGTCCCCAGGCTCTCTCTACATTATATTTAAATTTAACAGTGCAGATTAAAATCTGCTCCCAAGCCCCGGGAAAACTCTGTTCATGTTATAGGAATGACTGGCATGCTCAGGTCTCTCTTTTTCAGGTTCTAGCTCCATCCCACCTCTCCTAGACTACCCTCACAATTCATACCTCCTATCCCAGCCACTTTCTCCTACCCACAATTTAACCTATCTGTAAATGAAAAGCCTCTCACTGTTTTTGAAGACAAGCCCCACCCCTCAAAGTTGGTCAGAGGAGAGCTTGGAGAAGACCCAGGCTGGGGGACCCATCCCCCAATCCTGCACTGGTCTCTTCCGGCTCATTTTGCCTTCTGCCACCTGCTGACAACCACATCTAATTCAGTGGAAAGCCTTCCCTTTCAATCTACATCCCAGTGTAGACAAACCTTCTCTTTGGTTCCCCTCAGACAAATGAAACAGCATTTACAAAAGAATTACTAAATACTCCAAAAGAATAAAAGAATTAGGCACCATAAGTATCCCAGCAATAGTTCCTGTCCCAGGGCAGAGGCTTCTGACGATATACAGTACAAGCTTCACTCAGGCCTGCCTCAGACTGCCTTCCTCCCTGATCCCTTTAAAGGTAGCACCTTAAGATTTCTGGACACCTACTTTCCTTTCTCAACAAAATCAAAGACTTATCAGGTTCAAGGCCTTCACCCTCAGGGGCCTACAGCCATGCAAAGCATTTTGGCCAGCCTACCAGAACCACAAGGCCGAACTGATGTGATAAGGAAGCATACCTATCCAGGCACAGGCCCCGCAGAGCTGGAGTCACTGAGGTGAAAACCTGCCCCCACACCTGTCAAAAATCCCCAAACACATTGCTGGATCCCACACATACACAGAGTGGCAAAAAATTCACTCCTTCAAGTTGCAAATCCCTCACCTCCTTGAGCCGGGCAATAGCATCTCCTGCATCTGGGTAACCCGTGTCATCCTCAGTCAGCACCTTGATGATCTGGGAGAAGTGCTGCATGAAATTCTGCTTTTTTTGGTCATAAACATCCAATTTCTGGTCTCCATTCATTCTATGTGAGGAATAAAGTACTCTAAAGAGAGGGAGGACAAGTCAGAAACCTGATCAGCTGCTTCCCTCCCCAAAGACCTTCACCCCCACCACACTCACCGAGGCTCCTCTGTCCACACTTGGCACCAGCAGCGGGCACTGTGCCATGCCCCCAGGACTGAGCCCCGGTGCACCAGGGAGAGCTGCCGTAGGGGACCCAGCCACCTCTCCAGTGGCACCCAGCAGGGGACTGGTAGCAAGAAGACCCCCATAGATCTCAGCCAGCGAGACGGGGGCATCATGGGGACAGGGATGGCATTGTGAGGAGGCACCAAGCACTCCCTGCAGGGACAAGCACCAAAGGCAGATGCATGGTGGCAGCTCCCCAGGTCACCCCTACCACCCCCAACTTTTTACCTCCAGGCCCTGGGCCTGCCCTCTTCTGGGCAGAGCTTGGGCATTTACAAAAGAAAGAAAATTAGGTAACAAAAAGTATGACCGAGTGGCTGAGACTCAACTGATCATACTTAAGATGGCAAGAACTTAATGCCACCTAACTTCATTCTTCTCAACAATCAACTACTCCAGGAAGCCTCTGGAATTGTTACTCTCTTGGCTTCCCCCAAATCCTGGAGTACAGCTGGAAGCGTCCAGAGTAAAGTTCCTCAGGACTAGGGGCCGCAAAGACCCTTCAAACACCCTATTTCACAAAGGTCAAACTGAGGCTCTAGGAAGTAGGAAGATACATAGGCAGTGGCTGCGCCAAATCTAGGACCCAGGTCTCCCCAGGTAGGCGGGGAGAAGGGTGTGGATTTTCTGAGATGCCCCAAGACGAGGAGCCGGAACCCCTGCGTGCTACGGCCAAGTGGTCTGGGGCTCTGAGTCCAGGCGTCCCAGTACCCACAGGGAGCGCTGGGACTGCGGAGACCCGAGGAGCAACACTGGGCTAGTGAGGAGGTTTCGCAGAGAGAAGCAAACCTGGTTCGGGTATATTGGGGAGGTGCCAGGAAAGCACATGACAGAGCTCGGGAGCTTCCTCACCCCCCAAACGCGAGAACACCGTCGCTACAGACCCGGACTCCTGTGCCTCAAAGTATCGCTCCAGAGATAAGGCCGAGTCTCTACACCCTGCCCTCGGTCCCAGCCCGCAACCACTTACCTGTTCCACGATGCCGGTTCCAGGCCCGGATTGTCGGTGGGGTACGTCTTAAAGTTATACCCGCTCCACACTCAGCTCTCTGGGTCTAGTAGTTCTCGATCTTCTTTCACGAAGGACAGAAATGCACTATTAGACTACAGTTCCCGGCATGCCGCGGGAGGGACGGCGACAACGCAATCTAGCGCCAGCTGAGTGGGCGGGAACGAGTCGTCCTGATTGGCTGCTTCCCCTCGTCTGAGCGTGGCGCTATAACCGAGAGCCAATGGGAGGGCTGCGCCCAAGGGCCAAACATTAAAGGAGTGGGACGTTGAGGCGGGTGTGAGGGGTGGGATGCCTAGGAGGCGGCAGTGGCAGATGTGAAACCGGGTGGGAATGCCTGCAAGTCTGGCTCCTAGTTATCGCCTTTACTGTACGTTTCAACTTTCGTTATTTTCTTGGGCAACTGAATGACAGACCAGCTTTGTCACATGTTGGTTCTCTAACTTAGGCAAATCGTTTAACTCTCTGATCCTCAGTTAGCTTCTTTGAAACTGGCTTTCCTCATCTGTTTAAGCGGGCAATACTATGAGGTAATGTATAGAAAGTACTTTAAGGGCTGAAGAAAAATAAGACACAGAGCAGAAGCTAGAAGCCTCACCGACCCTACACTCGCCATAGCTTGACCCAGTTGTCTCCCAAAAGTCAGTAACTTGACCCATGAGGTCAAGATGCCTGAGCCCCAGCGGGTGTGGCACAGCTGGTTGGGCATCGCCCCTTGCAGGGTAAGGTTGCTGGTTCAATTCCTGGTCAGGGCACATGTCGGGGTTGTGGGCTGATCCCCAGTAGGCGGCGTGCAGGAGGCTATCTATGACCGATGTTTCACTCTCATATTGATGTGTTTCTCGCTATCCCTTCCTCTCTCTCTAAAAATCGGGTTTAAAAAAAAAAAAAAGAAATGCCTGAAACTCCAAACCATCTAGGACATAAATGAATTTTGTCATTATGGAACAAAAATAATTGTGCAAAAAATATATATATATATTATTATTATGCAAGGATTTTACCTGATTTCACCTGATTTCACCACTGCTATTTCAACATTTACTGGAAGTTCTAATCAGAGCTACTAGACAACAAAAAGAAATAAAAAAGTCAAATTGAAAAAGAAGTAAAAACATCTGTATTGCACAGACAATATTATTCTGAATATAGAAAAGCCTCAAGCCCTAGCCAGTCTGTTCAGTGGTTAGGGCGTCGGCCAGCAGACTGAAGGGGCTCGAGTTCAATTCCAGTCAAGGGCAGGTACCTGGGTTGCAGGCTCAGAAGGCAACCATTCGATGTGTCTCTCTCATATCAATGTTTCCCTTTCTCTCCCCATCCCTTCCACTCTCTCTGAAAAGCAATGGAAAAAATATCCTCGGGTGAGGATTTGAAAAAAAAAAGAAAGAAAAAGAAAATCCTCAAGAAAGCTACTAGAGCTAATAAACAAATTCAGCAAAATTGCAGGTTCAAAAACAACATGCAGAAAGCAGTTGTGTCTCTACAATCTCAAAAAGGAAATGAAAGAAGCAATATTATATACATTAGCATCTAAAATAATAAAATACCTAAGAATAAAATTTAACCAAGGAGGTGAAAGACTTGTACACTGAAAACTAGAAAACATTGCTGAAAAACCTTAAAGACCTAAGTAACTGGAAAACATCCCACATTAATATGTCAATAGCATCCAAAGCAATCTATAGATTCAATACAATCCCTATCAAAATTTCAGTAGAATTTTTTGATAAAAAAATTGGAAAAGCCAATTCTCAGATTCATATGAAATTGCAAGGGGCCATGAATAGCTAAAATAATCTTGATAAAGAAGAACAAGATTGAAAGACTCACATGTCCCAATTTTGAAACTTAGCTCAAAATTATAGTAATCAAAACCATGTGGTACTGGCATAAGGATAGACATATATACCAATAGAACAGAATTGAGAGTCCAGAAATAAACTCATACATTTATGGCAAATAGATATTTGACAAAGATAATACTAAGTCCACTCAATGGGTAAAGGATAGTCTCTTCAACAAATAGTACTGGAAAAAACTGGATTTCCATATACAAAAGAATAAAGTTGGACCAGTACCTCACATCATAGTCAAAAATTAACTCAAAATGGATTAAAACCTAAATATAAAAGCTAAAACCATCAAAGTCTTAGAAGAAAACATGAGTAAGTCTTCATGCCTTGGATTTGGCAATAGATTCTTAAGTATGACCCCAAAAACATAAGCAACAAAAGAAAAAATAGATCAATTGAACTTCATCAAAATTTAAAAACTTTTGTGCATCAAAGGACACTATCAAAAGAGTGAAGAGATCTGGCATCACACCTTTTACAGTGAGCTGCGTGTGGCCCCTGAGGAGCACCCTGTCCTGCTCACCAAAGCTCCACTGAACCCCAAGGCCAACCGTGATAAGATAACCCAGATCATGTTCGAGACCTCCAACACCCCAGCCATGTACTTGGCCATCCAGGCCATGATGTCCGTTTTCACCTCTGGCCATACCACTGGCATTGAGATGGACTCTGGTGACAGGGTCACCCACACTGTGCCCATCTCTGAAGGGTATACCCTCCTCCATCCCATCCTGTGTCTGGACCTGGTTGTTCAGGACCTGACAGACTACCTCATGAAGATCCTTACAGAGCATGGCTACAGCTTCACCACCACAGCCGAGAGGGAAATCACGTGTGACATCAAGGAGAAGCTGTGCTACGTCCCCCTGGACTTCGAGCAGGAGATGGCCACTGCAGCCTCCAGCTCCTCCCTGGAGAAGAGCTGTGAGCTGCCCCAACATCAGGCCATCACCATTGGCAACAAGCGGTTCCACTGCCCCAGGCCCTCTTCCAGCCTTGCTTCCTGGGAGTGGAATCCTATGGCATCCATGAAGTGTAATGTCAACATCTGTAAGGACCTTTATACCCATACAGTGCTGTCTGGTGTGACCACCATGTGCCCAGGGCATCAGCGACAGGATGCAAAAGGAGATCACCATCCTGGCTCCCAGCACGGTGAAGATCAAGATCATTGCACCCCCTGAGCGCAAGTATAGTAAGTACTCTGCGTGGATCAGTGGCTCCGTCCTGGCCTCGCTGTCCACCTTCCAGAAGATGTGGGTCAGCAAGCAAGAGTGTGATGAGTTCCACCCCTTCACCCTTTCTTGGCAAAACCTAACTTGTGCAGAAAATGAGACGAGATTGGCATGGCTTTATTTGTTTTGTCTGATTGTTTGTTTCAAAAAAATATTTTTTGTGCTTGAGTCAGGATTTTTAAACTGGAACGGTGAAGGTGACAGCAGTCTGTTGGAGGGAGCATCCCCAAAGTTCTACAATGTGGCTGAGGACTTTGGTTGTACATTGTTCTTTTTTAAAATAGTCCTTACAAATATCATGAGATGCATTGTTACAGGAAACCCCTTGCCTGCCCAAAAGTCACCCACTTCTCCCTAAGAAGGGCCAATCCTCACCCTTAAAAAGGAAGACAATTCTGATACATGCTACAATAGAACCTTGAAAACATTGTGCTAAGTGAAATAAGCCAGTCACAAAGAGACAATGCTGTGTGATTCCACTTACATGAGGTACCCAGAGCAGACAAGTTTAGAGAGACAAGAAGTAAGACAGAGGCTACCAGGGACTGAGGGTGGGGTGAGGAACGGGAAGCTGATGTATAAAGGGTAGAGTTTCTGTTTGGGTTGATGAAAAAGTTTTGGAAACTGATAGTGGTGATGGTTGCTCAACAGTGTGAATGTACTTGATGCCACTGAACTGTACACCTAAAAGTGGTTAAAATGGTAAATTTTATCTTATTTCTATTTTACCACAAAAATTTTTTTTAGAAATTTTTAAAAAATATTCTTATTGATTTTTAAAGAGAGAAAAAAGGAGAGGGAGAGAAAAGAGAGAGAGGAAGGGAGAGGGAGAGAGAAAGAGAAACATCAATGGAAGCTGTGTCCTGCACGACCTGCACCCCCCCACCAGGGACAGGGGAGGGGGTACCCGAGCATGTGCTCTGATCCAGAATCAAACCAGCAACCTTTCAGTGCACCAGATGACGCTCCACAAACTGACCCACACTGGCCAAGGCTATTTTACCACAATTTTTTCTAAAAAGGAAAAGAAACTTGTATGGTTTCCCCATGCAAGTTAGGGTTCAGTTCAGGAAATCCACTGCAAAAGCTGTGAGCAAAATAAAGGCCACTCTTCATAAGCAAGGAGTCTGGGACCTAAGTGGGGGGAAAAGCGTAAACTGGAATATATAGTGCCATGCTGCCATTTGCACTAACAAGGGAAAGATCATATATTGTTTATTCCTGCATTGTCTATTTCTGGGAGAACACAAAATTCTGATAACTTGCTGGGGGGAGCTGAGCGTCGGGGAAGGGGATGAAGCTGGGAAGGGAGAAACGCTTCACCTGCACCCTGAACCTCTGAATTGTGTATATTGTGCAAAAGTCCATTCGAATAAGTGTAAATGCATTTCGAACAAATTCTACGGAACTTTTGGAAACAGACGCAGGGCCTCGCAGGGCCCCGCAGGCGATTACTGAGGCAGGGGCTACACCCAGCGTGCCAGGGAGCAAGCACAGCAAGCCCGCCGACAGTGTCGCACTGCTCCCTCCCCTAGGATTCTTATTTCGGTTTGCAGATGAGGAAACTGAAGCTCAGAATCTCTCCACCCAGGTCGGCGTCACAGCGGGGCGTGGGCGCGGCCGAGTGGCCTCAGGGGCCC